TGGAGCCCAAACAGGACTAGTTGCAGGTTGGGGTGCCCTGCCCAGGTCACACTGCTGCTCCCAGTTCATCCCAGGTATCTGAGGGAGACTTAGAAATAAAATTTGAGGAGCACCTGGGTGGCTCAGTCGGTTAAGCATCTGACTTTGGTTCAGGTCATGATCTCACGGTTTGGGGGTTTGAGCCCCATGTTGGGCTTTGTCCTGAGAGCTCAGAGCCTGGAGCCTCCTTCAGATTCTGTGTCTCCTTCTCTCTCTGCCCCTCCCCCACTCACACTCTGTCTCCCTCTCTCAAAAATAAACATTAAATAATTAAGAAAAAAAGAAAATTTGAGGAATTCACTCTAAAACAGGGTAGGTCACCTTTTTTGTGTGTATAAAGGGTCAGAGAGTAAATGCTTTAGGCTTTGCAGGCTATGTGATCTCTTTCATAGCTACTCAATTCTGCTGCTGTAAAGGGAAAGCAGCCAAACCCAGCACGTAAACAAATGGGTGTGGCTGCATTCTAATAAAATTTCATTTATATAAAAACAGGCAGTGACTAGGATGTGGCCTGCTGGCTAGTTTTCCAACCACTGCATGTGACAGAGGGCCCAGAACAAGGACTTCACTTGCCTGGGTCTAATGGTGGTCATAGTGAAACTACAGGATCAATGATAAGTGTGTAATTTTGGTAGCTATGGGCCAGATTCCACACTAGAGAGATGTTATCAATTTATCATGGTAAATGTATCCCTACAGCAATTTTGGCTGTTTCTCTACAGCCTTGCCAAGGGAACATTTTATTAGATTTTGAATTTTTGTCAATTTGATAGGTGAGAAACGAACGATCTCTCAGTGGGAGTTTAATTAGCATTTCTTTTAGTTGGAGTGACAGTGAGCATCTATTTGGGTTTTTTTTTTTTTAATTAAGTACCTGTCTTTGGCTATTTTACTATTGGGTATTTAGTCTCTGTCTTCCTGGTTTATAGGTTTCTTTATATATTAAGGAGATGAGCCCTTAACGTGTATTCTGTAGTTGTTAGATATAGTGGTGTCTCTGCATCAGTCAGGTTAAGTGTTTGATAGTGTTGTTCAAATGTCTGAGACACCTTGTAGTTGTTCGAGTGGCGTTGCTCAGCAGACATGTAAAAATATAGGTCTGGAAAAAACAATACAGTCTGGAACTCAGGTGAGAGGCCTGGGCTGGGGGAATACATTTGAGAATAATGAGTACAGATGGCATCTGAAACAATGAGATAGGTGCAGTCACCTAGAAAGGGTAGATAGAAGACATCATCCAAACTGAGCTGTAGGGCGTTCCAAAATGTAGAGATTGAGGAGGACCAACCAGCAAGACATAGAAGAGGCTGGAGACTTTTCTGGAAGCTAAGTGAAGAAAGCATTTCAAGGAGGGAGAAGACTGTCACATACTTGTAGGGACTGAATAAGGTGAGAATTCTTGCTGACAACTGAGAGCTGGATTTGGCAGCATGGAGACTGTTGGTGACCTTGACAGGTCCACTTCCAGTGTTGGAAACAAAAGCCTGATCTCCAGAGAGGGAAGTAATTTAGAGAAATACAGTAGGCTGCTGGGCAGTGGGAGTTAACTTGATGTCTGAGGTTATAAATGTAAAGAGCTGTCCGAGCGGTCATGTGTTTTTCATGAGTCTTACTGAACTGTTTAAGTGCAGGCAAAGCAGAAGCAGGGAGTTGTATTGAACCAGAGGTGCCCTAGGCGTATGAAGGAGGCAGTTGAAGATGTATGGATTGATGGATGCAGGAAACTAACCTGAAAAATGAGAAGAGTACTCTATAGTGAAAAAGGTGGTAAAGCAATGGTTTGGAGGTCTAGGTATGGTCAGAGCCCAATTATACTCACAAACACAACAAATATACATACATCACCCTAGCCTCTCCTGTGTGAGTTCTACATGGACTTGATGTTCATCTAGGTATTCAAGAAGTACAGCAAGGCTGGTAATAGTTCTGAAATTTTATTCTTATTTGAGTTTACAACAATTCAAAGATGGCAGACGCCCATTATAAATGGGTACATTAGACCATACATACTTTATAAGGCAAAGAAGGAAGCCCAATGACTGAAAGACTTTTAAAAATGTACTTCTTTTGGCTATGTCACTGACAGTCTGTGATGCGAAACTCTTGATGTCTCCCAGAGGACACATTACCACAAGTTTCCATTTTATCAGGTTCTAAACTTTATTTTTTTAAAGAAAAAAAAAAAGGTTAATGAGCAAGAATAAAAATATGTTTTTAAAAAAGATGATTTCTGTATAAATAAAGCGTGTGATAAATTAGTGAAAGGAAGAGGTTTAGAGAGCAGGAGTTTTTATATTGTATAAAAATAAATACTGTCAATTTACATTAATATAAGACTGAAAATAAATTATTTTGTGGGTAAATAAGTCATCTTATTGGTTGCATACTTATGTAAAGGCTTACAGAAAACCAGTAAAAAAATTTTTTTAAAGGAATCTACATCCCTCTTAGAAATTAAGTGAGCTAATTGTTAACTGATTTTTCCAGGTCTTTATTTTTTTTCCTCAATGACATGCCTTTTTAGACATTTTGTTGCTATAACCAAGACTGGATAGCAAAACAGAAAGGAGACAGAACTCCAATCAGTCATGCTAGTTACTTATTAGGATCTACAGAAAATGGTTAAATCTGGGAAGGGGGTGGCAACTAAATGTTCAATGAAATAAGGTATTGTTCTTTTTTCTGAAGTCATCGTTTATTGGTGTTTTCCTTGGTCTTAGGAGCATGCATAATTTGGAGTTGGCTACACTTATCATTACGATCTATTAAATGGAAGTTTCCCTGTCTGCACCTTAAAAGATGTAGCAACACTCTATCCTATTTTAGAATATCTGGATGCACCAGTCTTACTTCCAGTCAGTTAATTAGTTTGGTACTCTTGGTACACCCGGTGGTCATAGAAAGAATACTGACTCAGGAGACCAGAGACCTAGATTTTAGTCACGATTTGAGCACTCTGCACCCAGGCAACTTTACAAGTGTAACTTCTCTGCACTCCAGTTTCTTCTGCTGCAAAATACAGATAAGAATATCTACCTGACCTATTTCATAGGTACTGTTGTGAGTACTATCTAATATAGTGTATTGGAATGTGCTTCAGAATATGTAATGCACTAAAGATGATGGTAAATGATTTAAAATGTGGTTTGCTGGGCACTTTTTCATGTTACAAATCAAAATAGAAATCTATCAGGAAATACAAATGCTTATGAATCATACAGTCCAAACGTAAATAAGTAATTTACAAAAGCTTTACAATAAAATCAAAGAAATTATTTATGGATTTTTTTTAAATAAAAAAATCTTTGCAGCTAAATATTCATTGACTTAATCATTCTTTCTTTTAAAAGAATGTTCACTATTTGACATTATAACTCTCCAAAGGAGAAATTCTATAATTAGTTCAGTTCTCTGCCTTGGAAGATTCATTATAAGGCAGAAGAGTGGAATAATTAAAGTTTTAAAATAAGCAAAAATATAGAACTCTACACCACAGTCCCCTTATTTTAAAGAGTTCAATAGGAATACTTACCCCAAGGTTTATAAACAATGCACTATTTATATAACATTAACACTAACTCACAATTTAAACCACAATGATCAAAATGGTCAGAACCTAATTGGTCAGAACCCTCTATCAGTTAAGTTATTAGATATCTGATGAGCTTGAGAGATTCTGTTGAATTTTTTTAAAGAACTATATGTGATATAAAAATGCTTACCTATTGAATAACTAAAGAGTTGGTCAAATTTGGAATATAGATCAGGTTTTAGAAAAATATATAGGAAACATAGCAGTGTATATGATAGCTTTCCCATGTAGAAATAAGTTTCTGCAAAGAGATGATATGTACAGGCATGACCAATAAGTGAAGTAACCCACCAACTTCTCTTTTAAAATGGTAAGCCTAAAAGTTCCAATAGACTTCTTTGGAACAGCAAACGAATCACTTGCTCCTTCTAAGTCTTATAATACCCAGGTTATACTAAATTGTAGGGTTTTTTTTTAATAAGAAAAAAACCTATTCATTATAATATAAGTAATAAATAGTAAATTCTGGGCAGTAGCAAAGTTTTTAGACCAAATGATCTTTAAAAGCATGTGTTTAAGAACTACATAATGCTAATATTCCAATATTACAATGATCTTTGCTATCAACAATCCAAGATTCAGTTTTCCATCAAACATTTCTTTCTCTGTCTTCTGTCTCTCTCCCCCCACCCATATGATTTCTCACACCATCTCATCCCTATAAATGCAGCTCATTTTCTCTTCTGTTTTTGACTATTAAGTTTTCTTAAAAAGATCAAAATTCTTTCAACAAATTCGATGATCAAAAATGACCCATTGCTTTCTTTAAAAATCTGTTAAGGTCATTCTGTGTTTAAATGGTAGCCTGTTAAGACTTTAAGGAGCTGAAATTAAATTAGTTTTGGCACAGGGAAAAGTGAGTTTATCTTATGCTCAGCAGAACATATTTAGGTCAGGTTGGGAGCTAGTAATTGATCATTTATTCTCAGCTAGCAGCAAGGTGGGCATAGTTAAAACTATTAGAATCTTGGTTGGGTCTCTTTCATTTTATAGTAAGATTTGGAGTCCAGCACGTCTATGAGACAAGAAAGGCTAAAGTAGAGCTCTCTTTCCTCGAACCTGGCATTGTAAGTTAAACAATAATAATGTATATTTCTGCTACATCAGTGGTTTTTAACTTATTCATTGTAAACATCCTATATTCTTTCCTATATAATTAATTTCAGAGGTTGAGCTTATGACTACATCTATGTCAAATTATCATTTATTCTATGAAAAGCAGCACAAATACTGTTCATTCTGGTTTTAACACAAATTCCTTAAAAAAATGTTAAGGCCATTTAATTGAATCAGGGCCAACTGAAGATTACCCTGGTAGAAGTCAAACTACTGATTTAAGATTTTTGAAAAAGAGTCATAAGTGGTTGTCTTGTGTTTTCCTCTGCAGAACTTGAGGACAGTTTGTAGGATTTATTAGTCTCCAACGTCTCCATCTCGATCGCCAATAAGCCAAAGAAAATGAAAACTTAAGGCTAACAGAGCCGTCCCTAGCAGATCACCCAATGCCGTCAGATAGGGGATGGAAAAACTATCTGGGTCCTTTCCTTTCCTCCAGAAGTGATGGACCATCCAGTCAGCAATCCACAGCAAGGTAAATACCTAGAAAACACCAGAGATTACTTCTATTGCCTGGGTATTCCTACCCCAGTAAACATAACCCCCACTCGGTCATAATCCTATGCCACTGCTTTCTGGAAGGAACAGCATGCATCTAAGTTAAGAACCATCCTTGAAAAGAAGAAATATTTAACTGATGGGAACATCTTCTTTTCACAAGAAAAAATATCGTGTGTATCTGTAATTAATAACATTTTTCTTCAGCTTTTCTCATATACCTTCTCATTTTCTTCCAGCTTCCCCCAAATCCCAATAATCCTTATATTTAAGAGTGTTATACAGTTGCCAAGTCACTGTTATGTTTCAACTTCTTTCCTTATGATAAACCGGAGAAGGAAGACATATAAAGGAGGAAATAAAAATTAAAATAAGGAATAACATTTCTCCTATTGTAGGTATATCACGTGAAATAAAGACGCGGAACTGACCACTCACTCACGAATTATAAGGCCGTGGGTGGCTTCTCAAGGGAAATTTCAGTTAATGGTTAAGAACAGTAACTAGAAGGGAGGTGCAGGGAGGAATGACTCATCTACATGGGTGTATTATAGATCTAGCCATAGAGTCAGAATATTTTAAAGGGTTATTCAGATGTGAAGGTGGTATATAGAAGCACTTTCTAGGATATCAGAAATAGAAAGACCTTCTTTGAATTTTGGGACCAGAGTTTTTTTCTTTGAATAATTAGAGTAGGAGGGTTGTCTGATTTTCAAAGTATTAAAAGTATTAAGTATTAAAAGATTTGGGACTAGAGAGGGCAGTGTTCCCAGACTGTGGACAACTCAGCAAGTATAAGTTAGTGGCTATGAGCACTTCTCTGTCACCTACTAGCCGAATGAAGGCAAGTCACTTAACCTCTCTGATTCTACTTCTCGCAAGTGAATGTTAGAGATAATAACAGCACCTACCTTCGTGAGAATGCTGTGAGGATTAAATAGACTGAATGGTTTGGTCCCTGGCACACAATAAGCTTTCACCAGGTGTCTGCTACTAGATTTTAATGGTGTCATTGCGAGGACCATTTGTGGCCATCTCATTCCTATTTCTATGTGCGAGGAAGTGCATCCTAGGCCCAAAGTCTACACCAAGGATCTGTTACCTTTTGCTGTTCTGACGTGTAGATACGGAGGCTTACCTTGGGTGAGCTGCCCTGAGTGCTAAACTTCTGTGTGCTGTGCTTTAGCTCTGACACCTTCAGAGGAGACTGGCTCATCTACACAGACAGACAGACGTGTACCCATTCCAAAGCAGTGAACTTTAAATATCTTTGGATATCTGTCAGAGAGGGAAGCTGTGTTTTAACCCATTTTATTTTGTATGAGGTTAAGTGTTCTTTAGTGTTTCCCTGGCAAAGACTGTTCTGAAAATACAGAAAGTTCCATCAGGACAATCTGTTTTGCGTGTGGAGGAAGCATGGAATATTAGAAATAATTCTGGACTTGGAAATGATAAGATATGGATTTGATTTCCATTTATCAGCTGTATGACTCTGGGCAAGCTTCTTACCACACTGAGTTTAAATTTTCTCATTAAAATTTTTTAAAAAATATTTATTCATTTTTTTGAAAGAGAGAGACAGAGAGCAAGCAAGGGAGAGGCAGAGAGAGAGGAGACACAGAATCCGAAGCAGGTTCTAGGTTCCGAGCTGTCAGCACAGAGCCCGACATGAGGCTTGAACTCACAAACCAGAAGATCATGACCTGAGGCGAAGTTGGACACTTAACCAACTGAACCATCCAGATGCCCCAAAATTTCTCATTTGAAGACAACCCAAAAGGGCCTAATATTTGCCATACTGACTTTAAAGTAAGTAATAAGAGCCTTGGTCTGGGGCATGAAAAAAAAGGTAAGAAAGCACAATCTCAGGTTACATTAATAAAAGCGTAATGTGCAGGGCAAGAATGAGTCATCCACTGGACCCTGAATGGGCCAGGCCACATCTGGGCAGTGCATTCTGTTCCGGATGCCCTATTTCCACAGAAACTCGGTCATCCTGAGTTTGCTAGGCTCAGTGTCTACCGACTGAATGCTGGGGAGTCAGTGTGAGACAATGTCATAGAACAGTCTGTCCTGGGTAGGGAGGGTGGCAGATGTAAACTTAAGAAAGTTATGATGGAAGGGGAAAAATAGTGGGGGAGAGGGAGGGAGGCAAACCATGAGAGACTCTTGAATGCCAAGAACAAACTGAGGGCAGATGAGGCGGGGGGGAGGGGGAGGGGGGTGATGGGCATGGAGAAGGGCACTTGTGGGGATGAGCACTGGATGTTATATGGAAACCAACTTGACAATAAACTATTAACAAATATAAATAAATAAATAAACAAACATTTTTGAAAATAAATAAATAAATAAAAAGACAGTCATGATGTCAGGAGATGCAGGTTTATAATACACAGCTTCAGAGGGTAGTTTTAGGCTAAAGGATAAAAGGTACCAAAAGACAGAACTTGTTTCAAGAAAACAATTGGGGTTGTCCATAAATAGAACAAAACTATATGGAAGTTCAATAAAGGAATGTGCTGATGAACAAGTAATGTGTACAAGAGGAAACAATAGTTTTTTTTTTTTTTGTTTTGTTTTTTTTGTTTTTTTTTTTTTTACTTTTATTTTTCAGATAACTTTTATTTTTCGAGGAAACAATAGTTTTAAAGAGAATAAGGTAGCTAGTTTCCATGAGATTGGCAAAAAATATAAATAAATAAATCTGCATTCCATATGCATTACAATATTATATATTCATGTAGGATATATTTAATATATGGTTATATACATAAGTTTACATAATATATAACATCATACACATATGATATATATACAAGTTACTAACTCCTTGTTGAATGTCTGCACTGAACAGATTAGATTTGTCTAGAACAGGAGCTGGCCAACTATAGCCCATGGGCCAAATTCAACCTGCTGCCTGTTTTCTTTTATTTTTTTTTTCTTGTTGAAATTTTTATTGAGATAATTAGAATACAGAATAGATTATTCGTAATATTACTAAATAATACATAGCGATCCTATATAACCTTATTACCAGTTTCCCCCATTGGTAATAGTTTGTAAAACTGTAGTATAACATTACAACTATGATTTTTTTTTTTTTTACAAATAGTTTATTGTCAAATTAGTTTCCACATAACACCCAGTGCTCATCCCCACAAGTGCCCTCCTACATGCCCATCCCCCCCCCCCCCCCCCCCCCCAGTCCTCAGTTTCTGTCAGCATTCAAGAGTCTCTCATGCTTTGCCTCTCTCCCTTTCCCCCACCATTTCCCCCCTTCTTCCTCCGTCAGGTTCCTCCTAATCCTCCTATACGTGCAAACATATGATATTTGTCCTTCTCTGCCTGACTTATTTCGCTCAGCATAACACCCTCAAGGTCCATCCATGTTGCTACACTTGGCCAGATTTCATTTTTTCTCATTGCCATGTAGTATTCCATGGTATAGATAAACCATATCTTCTTGATCCATTCATCCGTTGATGGACACTTAGGCTCTTTCCATGTTTTAGTTCTGCTGCCTGTTTTTATAAATAAAATTTTATTGGAACACAACTCTACCCATTTATTTACTTACTGTCTATTTAGTCTATTCTTTATGAGGATTAAATAATAGACTATTTAGTATCCTCACAAAATTCTCATGAAATAGGCACCATTAGTATCCCTGATGTTCACTTGGAGCAATCAGGCGGGAGAAAGTGACTAATCTGTCCTGACGCTACAATGACAGAACTCTGCAGTTGTGACAGAGACCGTACGGTCCACAGAACCCAACATATTTACTCTCTGGCCTTTTACAGAAAAAAGTGTGCTGACGTCTATTCAGGAAACAAATGCTTTTTCATACAGAAAGACATAAAATAGCATCCTTTCTTCATACACCAAAATAAACTCTAGCTAAGACTCAAGTACAAAAAGCAATACCTGAGAAGTTTTGTAAGAGAATGTCTTATGACTTTGATGTAGGGAATGATCTCATCAGTAAAATACATAAAATACTACAGTTTATAAGCAATTTTAAATTAAATAGTTCTAAAAATTAAGCAATTAATTAAAGATTTCTGTGGTTCAATAAACACCATAAGTCAGGTTAAAAATCATGCCCCAGGCTTGGGAAGAAAAATCTCTGCCTTGTTTATAACTGATCAAGACTTAGTATTCAGAATATTTAAAGAGAATATACAGAGAACCCCTACAGTTCATAAGAAAAAGAAACAACCCAATAGAATAGAAAAGGAAATCTAAAGTGTTAATAAACATATGAAAAGATGCTCAACCTCACTAATAATACGGGAATGCAAATTAAACCATATTACACTCCATTTCATACCCAGCTGACTGGCAAAAATCAATTTTTAAGCAATAGTGATAGTGAATATTGTTTTGTGAAATAGCTGTTACGGGGACATGCACTGTGCAGAGGTTCACGTGAACTGATGTAATTTTCAAAACACCTCTATTATATGCTATGGACTATTACTATCCCTTTTTGACACAAGATGACACTAAGGCACATGTGAAGCATAGGAAGCCTGCCCGAGGTCACCCGGCTCACGGGTGGAGACATGCTCACGCCCATATGATGGTCTGACATTAAGGCCCAAACTATCCTCCGTCAGTGCAGCGCATTGTTTCAGTAAGAAGGACCCTGCACTGCCAACAGGAGTATAAACTAGTGCAAGTCCTGTGGAGACCAACTCAGCCGTATCTGTTAAATCTGAAGATGTGCATTTCCTCAAGTCAGTAATTCCGCATAGAAACATGATCCATTTCCCCCATTTCTTCTGCAGGACGGGTAACAGGATAAACTTGGTCGCGGCTGAAGGCGACTGCCCGGGGGCTTTACTGACTGACCCCGGTCCCATGTGGCTACCCCAAAGACTGAGAAGACAATCAGCCTGGTGTGTCTGCAGAATGCGTGTGTCCCTGGTGTGTTTCTCCACCGGGACACTCCTACATGCATACTCGCTACACCGTCG